AAAAAAAAAAAAAGAAAATAGCTTACAATAAAACTTTATTTCTGACTAGTAATACAGAGTCACTGTTGAAAGTTGGAAAAAGAGAATTTTTTTCTTAATACCATTGGAGATCATTCCCAATTCCCACTTAACAGTTGTGTGTATATTATTTATTCTTTTAGGAGATACAATTTTTATAGCTGTTCTTATAATCTTTTTAAACACATTACAATATATCATAACATGAAAATAAGTGCAAGAAACAATGAAAGACAACTTTTGGGTAAGGAATAGTTTAAAATGCATTCAAAGGCAAACCTAATCCACCAGAAAATATGCACTCCTTGCCCCACCTTCAATAACAAACCTCTGTTCTTCTAGAATAAAATTTAAAAAAATTTAAAAACTCGTTAGGAGTCCAGTTTTCTGCTTCCAGAATATTTAAATATTAAATAATATTTAATAGAACAGAATGTTTAAATAACTAAAGCAAGCATCCATTTCTTCATTCTATGACAAGAAAATGTGATAGCCAGTCTTGAAATGCCAGATTGGTCTACCATAAAGAAAACCAAAGATTCAAAAGCAGCATTGTGAAGTTGAGTATGGTCCTTTTTTTCTGCACGTGTGTCCAATGCAGTAGGCCAACTATGTAATCCCATGCTCATTTCCATGCTAGTCATCCCTTATATGTGTGTGGTGAGGATAAGCCGAACTCTGAGAATCGTGGCACTGAATGGATTCTTAGAGGTCTAGATGAATTTTCCACTGCCTGGAAGATGCCCCCCTCTACTGTATCAGCAATCATATAGGCCTATCATCCTGTTAGCTCCACTAGCCAGAAATGCTCCAGTTCCATTTTGGAATAACTTGAGCTGTTAAGAAATTATTCTAATTCATCTTCCACTAAAATTTTGCGTTTCTGAACGATTCTCCCGGAGTAGTCTGGCTTTGTCTGTTGAAGGCTCAGGAAGTCAGTGCACAAATGGTAGAAGATACACAGAGGAAATCAGACTTTCCTAGAACAACCGTACCTGGCAGCTTCCTTCTGATCACACTCAAGTGTGTCAATGTCTCCTTTAAGGAGAGTGTTCCTTAGAATGGGGCAAAGTCCAAACAGAGTCCTGACGAGTCCCTTTGCTCTGAAAGCACTAACCTATTCATCTATTCATTTTTTAAACTCTTCTGTTCCCCAAATGTTTTTGCAACTGCTTTTTTGAGAGTAGGATTTTCAATCAACCCAATGCATCTTTAAAATTTTTAATTACACATTTAATGATATAAATACCTTTTCTAAATAAAGAGCTTCCTTGTGAATAACTTTTTGAATGTTGGTTCTGCCATTACCCATTTTAGTTCTTTCCCAGCTAAGATTATTTGCAAATTAGTAAGAATATTCTTAAGGATCTTAAACCATATCTAGGTAAGTTTGCAGTTATCTCAAATCAAATACTTAGAGTACTCTAAGCTACAAAAAAAGAAGTTATTTTTAGATGATCTACATGAGAGTTCCCATCTAACTGGGTGGATGACCAAGAAATGACCTAATTTGGCCTTAGGAATTTAAGGAGGCTGCAGGATCTCGAGAAGACAGGAAGAGGGTAACACATGGGGCCACACATATTTACATAAGAGTGTGGGAACAGACTGCTGCAGACATTTCAAAGGGTTTCGGCTGGGTGAGTCTTTAAACAAACAAAACCAAAACAAAACACCAAGTGTGAGACCTTAAAACATTCACTTCTCCACTCTGGGCTTTATACCCCATACTGGTCAAGCTGGGGAGCTGGACTGAGGTCCTGTTCTATCATTCCATAATTCTCAGGCAATGAAACAGCCAAGAGTCATACTCAGATATTAACTATGATTCCATTTCCTATTCCACGGTGGGATGGGATGTGAGAATGCAAGGGACCAACTTACCACAAGGCTGGTGTTGAATTTATAAAACCTCTGGACTGTTCTGTCACTGAAGCTGTTGCACAGGTTTTTCTTTACAAAGTTTGGGTGGTTCAGGATATCGTTTGCTACCAAGGGCTCCTAGCAAGGTCAAGCAGACAGAAGACACAAGCCGTGTAATTAATGAGCCACAGGCCGTGGGAGCACTGAGCTAGCGGCTTCACAACGAGTACCTTGTGGGTAATATGTTGTTGTTCCACAGGTGCGTGTCCTTTGGGGTCAATGAGGGTTGGATGTGCCACCAGATAACCCCTGTCCTCCATTATGAAGCACCTGTGCCAAAACAAGGGACATCCCTCAGTAATCTAAACTCTCTACACTTTCAGAGAGCATTTATCTTTTTATCCCCCAAACAAATTGCATTTATCTCGGTAAAACCTCACTGAAACAAATTCACTGAAGGTCGGCTGGCAGGCAGGCAGGCAGACAGATATGTTATTCTTTTTTGTTTTTTTTTTTTAATGAGGGCGGGGCTTGAACTCACAAACCTGAGATCAAGACCTGAGCTGAGATCAAGAGTCAGACACTTCATCGACTGAGGCACCCAGGTGCCACAACAGATACATTATTCTTGAGCTGATAGATTACCCAGTATACAATTTACGGTAACAAAGTTACGCCTCACTCTGAGGCTACCTACCTAGTTCCTACAGAATGTGTCCACTTAGTTGGAGGAAGATGGACTCAAAAATCTTTTGCAAGGATATATAAGTGACAAGTTTATTCTTTCTTTCAGAGGAGGGAGACTCTGAAGGAAGTGGCCTTGGGTATTTATAGGCGCAAACTTTAAGCCTATAAATGATAAATATATATGAAATACAAACTTGCGGGACATGCAAAAATATATTTGATGGAAACACTAAGTAAGCAAAGCTAGAACTGCTCTAGCCAAGACTATGCACTGCTCTATTTTATTCTGCATGTGTTGTAACACTTTGCTATGAATCCTGCATTTCCCTATTAAGGGCCAATGAAATTTAGCAGTGATAGGAAGCAGGGGCCGTGAGAGCGAAATAAGAAAACTATTTTAAAAAGTGGCCTGCATTAAATCAAGGGAATAACCTGGCTTTGATCAGACACGTTCTTTCGAAATTAGGAAGTGAAGACTTTTAGTTATATGAACCTCTTTCTGGGGAAATGTAAAAGGGAACAGTCCAAGTGCCTGAAATTCCCACAAAGACTTTGGCTTAATAACTAAGTTCACATCTTAGCTGGGCTTTCTAGCACCCAAGATCTGGGAAACCTCTAATTATTGACTCAGAGAGAAATAAGCGCTTTCAGAGAATTCTATGCCACAGTTATTCTCCTTGTTATGAGACAAGTCTGTTTGTCTCAATCATAAATGGCATGCAGCTTAGAAAAATGAAAGAACAAAAACCTTTGTAATTGAACACCCAGGCCATGGACTGAATTTCTGGTCTTGACTCTGACAACGTGGTTGCCATTTAACCAGAGATATCGGACATCATTTTCTTTGTATTTTGCAGCTAGACAGGAAATGGTGTCCCTGAAGGGCTTACCTGATTTTGTTGCCACCATCTTGGTTGCAAACTGGTAATAAGTCCATCAGAACCTTGTAGAAGTATCTAAGTGTGAAGTCGATGCCCATCACAGCCACAGTATGCCCGGAAGATAGCTGTGTACTTCATGTGAAAAAGATCAGTGAGAACAAGAGGCACGTCTTATTTAAAGGTAAAAGTTACATTCACTCATAAGGACATTGTATGGTATTAGAAATATATGCCTACTGTTTCTCCACATTTTTCACCCCTATAAAAATGATCAACTAAATGACTGATTTAGCATAATACGGAGATTTGCTGAGAGGAAAACTTAAGGCTAAAGGTAGAATTTTCTAGTAAGACCAGTCCAAAACACGGGCAGCTATGGAATATGGCTAGCCCTGACTTTACATGTTCAGTGGCTGGACTACTCTTTGGCAACAATATGGGAGTGGCAGGAAGAGGCATCAGTGGGAGATTGGATGCATGACTACTATGATTCCTCCCAACAAGGAACCTCTAGACAAGGAACCTGAGTGATCCCTTTAATTATTCCCCTCATTTTATTCAATAAGGAAACTGGGATCTCATAAAGGTTAACTGACTAGTGTAACGTCATACAAAACTCAGTAAAGAACTAGGTCTCATTTTCTTTCTATGACATTAAGGTTGACTCTACTCAAAACACAGCTCAGATTCTAGAAAGAAACTCACCTGGTTCACAGGCTAGTTCCTTCTCCAATCTAAAACTCTACCCTCAGAAAGACGAGCACCAAAGAGGATAAAGTTGGGTAGTACCACATGGTGCTTGCTAAGCCTTTAGCCCCGGGGTCAAGCAGATCTGGGGTCAAATCCTGGCCCGTCTAGGTTTCCACTGGTGTGGCTCCTGGGAGGCTACTTAACCTTTCCAAGACCCAGTTTTCTTATGTGAAAATGGGGAGAGTAGTATCTACCTCACAAGGCTGTCATTGGACTTAAATGAACCAGCGTGTTTATAGCTGCCTAACCTATCCAAAATACCCAACAAAAAGAAGTTACTCTAAAGAAAACCAACCAGGGCTTAAAGCTCAGACCTGGACAGAGTCAACTTACTGTTCATCTAGAGAAATGCTCGATATATAAGCAGCACGGACTTCTCACATGGAACCTTGGTTCTTTCTAATCTATGATCACGGGCATTTGGAGTGGTTTGGGTTATTTGGCCAATGAGCTCCTGTACCTTTGTGGCTGGGAATTTGCAGGGTTTACGCAACGTGAGACATTACAGGGCCCCATCATTACTATCACCCACCTGCCTGATTTCTTATAAAGTACCAACAGAAAAATAGGGCTGTTATAGACAAAAATCTTAAAAATAGTAACTGGAGAGCTCAGAAGAAACTTCCCAAAGTAAAATCATCTTTTGGAAAATCAAAACTTGGGAGTGAAATTAGCTTTGTTATGTAGACAACTGTCCCCTTCTGGTTACTGTCAACATCAATACTAACATATCATTCCCAACCCTCTACCTGCGCCCCCCACCCCCCCGCCAAAAAAAAAAAACCCCTTGAAAACCATCAGAAAGGACCTTGACCCACAATGAAATTTCTGTCAAAGCTTTGCTGTCAAAATTGTGTTTGGCATGAGATGAAGGAGGACCATGTTGTGGGGTTATCTCTGAGAGGCTATTGCCTCAATAAGATCTTTCTATTCTTTCACTTGATTTCTTTCACTTAGCATAATCCCCTCCAGTTCCTTTCATGTCAATGCAAATGGTAGGTACTCATCCTTTCTGATGGCTGAGTAATATTCCAAGCAGAGAAAGACAATTATCATATGGTGTCACTCATACGTGGAACATAAGGAATAGCGTGGAGGACCACAGAGGAAGGGAGGGAAAAGTGAATGGGAAGAAATCAGAGAGGGAGAAAAACCATGAGACTCTGAACTCCAGGAAATAAACTGAGGGTTGCAGAAGGGAGGGGGGTGGGGTAATCGGGTGCTGGGTATTAAGGAGGGCACGTGTTGTGATGAGCACTGGGTGTTATACGCAATACTGAATCGTTGAACACTACATCGAAGACTAATGATGTACTCTATGCTGGCTAACTGAACATTAAAAAAAAAAAAAAGCTTTCTATTGTTACTGAAGCCACTTAAATTCTACCATGGAAGAAATCCAAGACTCGGTTACCTTACATGGCATTTGTTTTTTGCAGCAAATAATGTTTTCCTGAAGTATCAGTCCAAGGAAGTCTAACCCTCTCTTACTTGTCCAGGAAAGAGCGAGGCGTCTAAACAGCAGGCGCCATTATGATAATATTTACTGAGTGTCCACGATTTATAGGTGCTCTGGTGGGCATTTGAATACATCCCATTTCAATTATTTCTCACAAAGACTTTATGAGGCATTATCATTTCCAGAAAACTGAAGCTTGGAAACATTAAGAATTTGGAAGTGGAAGCAAGAATGTAAGTTCAGGGTCTTCAACTTCAGAACATATTCCTAACCAGTATGTTATACGGCGCCTCCTTAGAGATGCAGGACATTCAAGAGTGTCCAAGCCATTTTACATGACCTATTCAATTTCCCGTGACCACGTCAGGAAGGAATTAGAGTTCCCATTTTATAAATGGAAAATCAGGCTTAGAATGGCTAAAAGACTTAAACAAGACTGACCACCTTTTACTTATGATAGACCAGTTCTGGCTCTTCCTACAATACGAGAGTGGACTCGGTGAAAAATGCAACTCGGGTTTTTCTGGGACAAGTTAATTTTGTTTCTAAACTTCCCCTGTGTAACTGCTATCTGCTCCAATGTGATCAACATGCTGAAGGAAAAGCATGCACATTGCCCATGTAAGCCTAGCATTCATATTTTTACCTGCATTTCGAAAATGTACAGTTACCATAGCAACTCATAAAGAATACCATAGAAGAATCAAACCACGCCTACATTTCAGGGTACAAAGGACCATGCTGTTTGCAGCACTTCTGTGAGATTTTCACTGCCAAAGACTCATCTGACCAGTCCCTTAATCGCTGATTGTACTTCATCGTCTCTGCTAGCATTAACATTCTCCAAACAATGCACACTTAGACTCTCAGGCTATTAATAATGCTCATGGAAGAATCCCAGGGCAGTTACTAGGATAAGTGAATGCTGAGTTAGAAAAGCCCCTCCGCAAGCTATCAGCTCTCACTTCTGGAAACCAAGGCTGAATGACAGTGCTTCGTGACTAGCTGAACACTAGCTTAAGTTCTCTTTTCTGACCTATTAAAATGCCAGAGGCTTAAGGCAGAAATAGCATGATATTAGAAGTAATTGTCACTTATTTGGGACTGGACATTGTCAAGTCCAGTGCTAAACACTCCACATGCATCATCTGTAATTCTCATTATATCAGTTCAACACAGGCATGGTCACCTGTTACATAAATGAGGCTCTGAGAACTCATGGAACATAGTCATAATACAGGTATTTCACATTTATCAAGCACTTACCAAGTGCCAGGCACCATTCTAAGAGCTTCATGTATATTATTTAACGTAATCCCTAATCATTTGAGATAGGCCTTAATATCCCTCCTTCATAGGTAAGGGAACTAAGGCAAAAAGGAGCTTGTTTACAGTCATAGAAGCAGTAAATGGCAAATATACTTTTTCAGAGTAGGATCACATCTCAGGAGGAGGTTATGTTCTCAGGTTGGTGCATGAGACCAAAATCACTGGTGATCGCTTGAAAAAAGTACCTTTTGCACAGCCCATCTATCAATACATCCATTAAAGCTACAGTTGCTTTGGTTGACAACCAGAAGTGCAGTTGACTTGTATTCTAAACTATGCTGAGTGAAAAATACACAGCCCTAAATAATAAAAGCATGCTCAGTGATAAGGCAGATGTTCAAATGATCGAGTCCATGGGACTACATATTGATCAAGGCAAGAGCAGATACCTATTCCTGGAATACACTCTCACTGAGTGACTGGTGGACAGAATCCAGGATTGAAGTGGCCATTTTTCACTCTTGTTAAAGTCAAACAGCTAAACTTGTATAGGTTAAGCACACTATAAAAAGTAGCCAAATAAGGGAAGTGAACTGAAGGTTTCTCTAACTTGAAATCCCATATTTGCATCGTGCTTCATTTGGGCTGACACCATAAATATTTATAAATCAGCTAAGTGAAGCTTCTCCCACCCATCCAAATTTTAACAAAAACATGTACACAAATGTAAAAGAGCATTAAAATCTGCACCTCCCTGTGGCCACGTCTTCCCCCTGCCCCCCACACAAGGTGTACTGTACAGAAGGAAAAGATAATAGCACTTGGTAACGAGTGGCAGGTGTCAGAGCCTGTTGGAACAAATACCAAGTAAGACCCACACAGGCAGTCATTCTCTCCCTGCCACCCCCACCCCCAAGATCTGAAGCCCAGTGCTGGCCCATTGTCATTGTCATCAAAGACCGAGGTGACTGCCCTCTCCTCAAAGAAACCACCTTTGGTTACTTTTTTGCAACTGATGAGACTACATGGGAGAGATGTCAAGTCTCACTATGCAGACAAGAGTAGGTGTATGCCTGACAGATGGTCTGTTAAGGAGAACACCGAAAAGTTCTGTTCCAAATGAGTATTTACTTGTTTAGATGTGACAGAGCCACACAGATACCATGCCCTGCAAAGCAATCACTATTTGGCTGGCGGCAGGCCCCTGCTTTCCATGGAGACACAGGTCATGATATTGAAATTCCGACACAGTACTGCTTCCCAATTCTTGCTCCCAATGAACTTGTGTTAGAAGAATTCTCCTGAATGTCAATCATTTGATATATAATGAGCACCAGTGAAAAGCATAAAGTTAAGCAAGAAAAAAATCCATCTCCTGTAAATTTTAAGGCATCATTATGGGTCCCAGCCAAAATATGGGCTTTCTTGGTTACCAGGGGAAAACACCTATTTGTATAATGAAGGGATTAAAACAACACGTGTGACTTGCCTTTCTACCCAACATTTCACTGCCATTTGTAGCTTAAATACTGAAACCCCAAAGGCCTGAAATACAAAGCACCCAAATTATATTTACAATGACACTGACATTTAATAGCATTCTTGGAAAATCAATTTGCAAAATGCCTTTTTAGTTTTCAAGAGACAATATAAGGACAAAGTGACAATAACCACAAACTCCTATATCATTCTAAAAAGTTAGACCGAAATAAAAGAAGTAATAACATTGTGGTCTCAATACTGTTTTTTTCTTCATTAAACATGCTCCTCTGCTTAGGAAAATGCTCTCTTGTTAATAATTGTCAGGCTCTTGGTGGGATTTCCTCAACTGGTTAAGAGTGGTATTTCTACAAACTGTCCTACTGAATCTAACATCTTTTTCTTCTTCATAAGAAGAGGGCTAAGAGCTTTTCATCGACTCAAATGCATGATAACCTTGTGAGGTAGGTCTTATCCCCATTTTATGGATGACAGGAGGATGCTCAGGGAATCCAAAATGACACAGCTAGAGAAAATATTCAGACTCCAGGTTGCCTCCCATCAAAGGTCATGCTTTTGCCACTAATCCTTGGTTGTCTACTGGACTTCCAAATTTTCAAAATATTCTTGATGTGTTTTAAAAAGGACTAAGAAATTAAAGTATTACCTGGATGAATGGATTGTGTGACTGATGGTTACTACATAGCCAGCTCCTCCAACATCTAAGTAAGGGCCAGTCAAAGAAATCAAACCTGGATTAGCTACCGCATGGAGATACCTAATGGAGACAAGAGAAAGTCGCATTATTTTAGGGTATGAAAAACTACTCTCTAAATGTCAAAGAGAAGTGAACGTGTAACTCTACAAAGTATTTATTATAAATTGTGCCTATGTTAGTGTTCAAAAGGATTCCTATCTTTTATCTCTGACTGTGGCAACACAAGAGGTCAAGAAAATCTGAACTTCTTCTGTAAGAGACACTCAACTCAGTACACATTTGAGCTTTTCATAAGATCTATGGTATAGAGGTTTTAGACCTAATATAAAAAGAAATCAGTAAGTAATGTAGAAACAAATGCAATTTGGCCCATGAAACTGCCCCCTGGATTGGAACGGACAGTACAAATGACAGCCAACTCATGTGTGACTCAGTCCCTAAGCAGCACAAGACCAGAAATCCTGTTTTTATGCCCAAGTTGCCCCCTTCCCCCCATGATACACCCTGGCTAGCTTTTGTTTTTGAAAACCTGAGTAAAAATGGCGCCCAGAGGTAAAAAGAAAAAAAAAAAAAGGATTTATATTTGTTTATTTCTCATAGGTCATAGATGGGCTGTAATTTGATGCCATCATCATGTGCAGGGATGTTAAATATCCCCACTATGGGCATACTGCATGCAAGGCAGGACTCAAGCAAAAATGCTAGGAATTGAAATAGCCAAGTATAAAACATTTCAGTCTCAAAATTTCAATGAAGAGATAAAAACACTGTCAACAGAGGAAACCCACAAAGCTGTTGTTAATACTGCATTAAAAAAAAAAGACTCAAAAATATGTCTTCACTGCCATGAAAGTATCTTCTTTACTGTGACTGCCTGAAGTTGCTTTATTGTATGTACTTATCGTGTCTCTCCAGGATTTGGGGGAACCTTTGATAATGGAAGCCCCTAAAACTCACCATTGTCTCCTCGTGGGATCAAACGCTTTGTCCATGAGGGAACCAGGATAAATTCTAAGGACACCATTGGGTGTTGCTATGTAACGGCGGACAATGTACGTGTTCAGGCTACTCATTTCCATTTGTGTCATCCATTCATCTGTGACGTGGCTGGTGGCCATTACTTCATTCCTGACAGAGAACTGGGAAACAAAGGAAGACATAGCAGGGATCCTTTAAGACTCACATGAAAAGAGAGTGGGCCGTTGGCAGGGCTTCCCAAAGCTCCCTTGCAGAGAAGCCAAGCCCAATTACTTCTTAAAAATCTTTCCACAGCAGATGGATACAGCCAAACTTGGTGAAAACAAAAGCTTACTGAAACATAGTCAGTGGATGTGTGATTTACTCAATTGTTCATCCTAGCAAGGCTTTCTGCATTTAAGAGGAAAGATCCTATAGTGAAGCATTACACACACATATACACACGCACCCCAGCTAAATCTCTGTTCCTTAAACTTCATCATCATGTTTATCTCAAAAGACCAGAGGGGCACTTTACTTCTTTCCCTTGGGAAAAACGGGGCTGGGAAAGTTCCACTGATCTCTGAATCACACCCCCCCCCCCCACCTAGAAAACCCCTAGTGTATCTAAGGCCTGACAGAGATTCTTCATCTGGTCCAAAGGGCTCCTTAATCCGCCAGAAGGGTCATCGCCAACCAGCCTCCTGGGGGCCACACACGGCCTTTCTGGCTCTCCAGCTGAGCAGCACAGACCCAGAGCTGGGCTTCCTACTTCGCAGGTTGCCTGCCAGGCCCCCTCCCAGGCCTGTACCCCAGAAGCAGGGCCTCGGGCCAGCACTCACTTTGAGCCCCGGGTTAGCAATGAGGCGGGTGTTGTCACTGAGGTAGGCCGTGTAGTGCTCCACCATGCGCTTTGTCTCTGGCTGGCTGAGGTGTTCGTAGGGGGAGGAAAAGCTACCAGCAGACAGCATGACAGTTGGACTTTCTGAAAGACAAGCAAACAAAGCAGGCCTGAGAACGCTGAGACTTCATGTCAGGCCCAAACAAAAGCATCACGGAGGCTCTGCCAATCTGCTAGCCATGGGGGCTTAAAGTCTTCCGTGAGGAAAGCGAAGAACTCAACACTAGAAGGAGCGAAGAAGGAAACAGTCCTTATCCTCTCCCTTCAGGCAGTTTGCAGTCGTGAGTGAACCAGAAGAGACACGTGTACAAATAAATACAAGTGCCTAAAATGGCAAATGCTCAAAATATCTTAGATCTACGGATGACATCTTACACTTCTTAGGATTAAGGAGGCAGCATAGGACATGGAGCCACACTGACGGGGTTGAATCTGGGCTCCACCATTTCCTGGCCATGTGATGTTGGGTAAAGTTGTAATATATGTGATGCTTTTGTCATCTGTGGAGTTGGAAATTATGGCACCAAACTTATAGGTATGGTGAGAAGTACATTAGTTGGTTTATGCAAAGCAAATGAGTCAATAAGTGTAAAGCATGTAGGATGGTGTTGGCACATGACAAATGCCTTGTGAGTGTTAACTACTATTATTCATATTGGTACTGATATTTCAAAAGAAGGAAAAATGGAATAGTGGAGTCAATGCAAAAAAAACAAAAAACAAAAAACTATTCTTACAGACAGGGATAGCCAAACTCGGCATAAACAAAAATTTTGCTGGTCCTACCTAAGAGGAAAACCCAGTTCTCTATTTAAGACAGAAATCCTCACAATGAATTACATTATGAAACAAAAACACTACATCTTTGTCTGTGAAATTTCCCACTGTTCAATTTTATAGTTGTAGAAACTTTCAGAAAGCACTGTCCACAGTCCTGTGTCTCATCTCATTTAAATCTGTCGGTCATTTTTCATTCCTTTTGTTAGTTCTCACTCACAGTGCCTTATTTCCTTGTGGCCTGGCTATCTCTGACTGTGCAGGACACTGTACTTCAAAACAAATTTGTGGAATGAGTCGAGTCCTAACAGGAGCGGGGGAGTCCTTCCTCTAGAAAGGACTGTTACTTGCTTCTGCCAGGCACCAGACCCCAGGATGAGGTAAGGCAGAGACAGCTCTCAACAAAACAACGGGATACTGGCCCAAGTGCTGCACTGTGGGACTTCCATACTCAACTAGTCCACGACTAGTTACTGTGTGAGGTTCCTTAGACCGCTCAGGTGACAGGAACCCCAAGTCAAGGGCTTCTTCAGTTTCAACTCATACTCACTCTGGAGATGTAGTTCTTCAGGACCTCTGCTAAAACGTGTATATGTAGTGGGTGAGAGGGAGGGTTTTCATGTGTTAGCCTCCACATTTGGGGGGTCTTGGATTTGATTTCTGCCTCTCCCCCTAGCCCTAAGAAGCTACTCCCTAAAGCACAGTTTAATTTCCCAGTTGTTTCTTCTGGATTGGTAAATAGGTGCATTGCAAACGTGGCTTTAAATATTGGCTTTCTTCTCTGGTTTCTTATATTCTCCTAGACTTTGGTCTAGTTCCTAGCTATCATGTTAGTTCTTTGAAACTTTTCAGAAAGTTTTTTTTTACTCTCAAGTTTCCATCCATTTTTAATTGTCCTCAGTAGGATAGATCAGAATTACATAGTTTGTCATTATCAGAAGAAAGTGCTTCCAGTGATGCTATGTCTGATTTAATTCTCATGATACCACATGGGACAGCCGGGGAGATTAGTATTATAGTCCTATCAAGGAGAAGAAAACCAGAAGCTTAAAAAGGTTCGGTTGCCTAGCAGCATGCTATGGATTCATGTGCATATGCTCATGGGGCCTTCTGGGCACAGATGCACTAGAGAGAGAGCATTGTCCCTCTCAGAGAGCTTAGGAACCAGCTGGAGACTAGAAATTTTTAAAAAGAGGAAAACAACAGAATAAGAACGATACAATAATGCAATAAATGTCAAAAGGCAATCCATAATACTTCAGGGACAAAGGAGTAGGGCCAGAGATTAAGGGGAGAGACACTTTGGGAGTGGGCCTTTCTTGTAGTGACAGAGACTGGGCATTTGAGCAGAGGCTGCTGCAGTGACTTGGGTTGAGGGAGAGAAAAAAACCAAGACGCAGGACCCAAAGCTTTGTGTCTAGGAGGTAGACACATAAAGCTACACACATACATGTATACTTAACCGCACTGGATGATGTACACTTAAAAAAATTCCTCTTTGTGTACCAAGACAGACAATGTCCCTCCTTCAGCCCTCCTGATGGGGCTCTGACATAGATTCAACACCTTACTTCAAAATCCCCATCATCGATGAAATTAGACGGAAACCACTTTTTTTGCCATTGTCTCCCTTCTTTTTCATTCCTTTTCCATTATAGTTTGAGTATCCTGCTTCATTTTCATTACCAACTAAACTGTCCTTGATGACCCCTTCACGTTGTCCTGAGGAGGTTCTACCGCCAAGGTGAAGTTGGGTGGTACAGTGGGAAGAATGCCCAGTGAAAGTCAAACCCTGGCCTATGGTCTGTCTGTGTGATCTAGAATTCATCCATTAGTCCTGCATCAAGTCTTTGAGTTGATAAACTCTACGTTTTGTGAGCATCTCTGTGAGGCAGTACTGCCCATCTAGAATATGATGCAATCCTCAAGTGTAATATAAAATTTTCCAGGAGCCACATTCAGTAAAAAGAGGTTAAACTAATTTTCCTAGTGTATTTTATGAAATCCAGTATATCAAAAACATCACTTTACATAAAAATTAAGTGTTTTACATTTAAAGTAAATCTCAGCTTGGACTAGCCACACTTCAGGTGCTCGACAGCCACGTGGCTAGCGGCTACCATTACTGAGCAGTGTAGCTGAAGGGACTGTGCAAAGGAAATTTAAAAAAAATCTAAGCTTGAGCTTTTTTCTCACCCGGCAATATTACTGCACTTCCCGGTCTCAAATTTCAGAACAGTGACCTCATTTTTATCAGCAGTTGTATTGAGCTTGTTCCCACAGCATTTAAGAGAATCATGCCCATGTTGGCTATTCGGTGAGCATTTCTTAAAAATATGAATTAAAGGGCATACATGCTCTTTTGTATAAAAGCAAAAGACAAAACCTCAAAACCTAAATGAAAACAAACAAATGGAAAAGCCAACCTTTTTCGACCGACCTCTTTGGCCTTCCTCAAGTTGTCTACGCTGTTGGAACATGCCGTAGAAGAGACGACTCAGTCTGGCCAGCTCTCCTGATCTCATAACCAGGCAGAAACTCTACAGGATGGAATTTAAAAGATGGAACCCGAACACAAGGGCTCTCGTGTGGAATCTAGACACTGGGGACTTCCATCCTTGATCCTCTTCCTGCCTGTGCCCCTTTCTACTCAGTTTGCCCGTTGCCTAATGAGTCTTAGTGTTTTTGAACCCAAAGAATTTTCAACAGTGAAAAAGAGAATGCCTCTTTTATAGTACTATGAGTACCACGCAAACGCCCAGTATGTGCCTGGCACATGGTGGCACGCAATAAAAGAGGTGGCACCTCGGCATGGGAGGAGTGTGAGTCACATTTCAGCCTTGCTACTATCCTCATCTATAATAGGTCAACGCAAATGATGAAAGCAAAATATATGGTACCTACACAGGTAAATTCCCTTTTCCTTTCTTGCAATTACTTGCCTATTTCCTAAGCTCTTTTTGAAGACAGGGACCCGTGGTAGACACAGATATGCTGCATAGGAATGCCACCCTTAGACCCCCTTTACTATTTCTCCACCTCTTAGCCTCTAGCCCTGTATCCCCTTATCTCCGTATCTCTGTGCTTGCCTCTACTGGGCCATACTGGTGATTCTCTGATGGACTGTCTCCGGGCTACTAAAACCTCTTTGCCTAGCATTAGCAGAAGGCTGAAAGATACAAAGGAATAGGAAAGTCCAGCTCCCTCTCCTGAGTCTGGGCAACCTCTTCAGGGTTATTTACACTCCAGAGCCCCCCTATAGCATTAGGCTGAGGCTGGAACTTCACCTAAAATCCGACTCTTGCTTGCTTTCTCCTCCTTTGCTCTCCTGTTTCCCTCCCTTCTTCCCTCGTTTCTTCTTAGAGCCCATCCTGAATAAATCAACACACAAATCCTCGTCTCGTTATCTGCCCGAGAACTGGATCCAAGGCAAGGCCTCCAATCGTTTTCATGTCTGTAGACCCCAACTGTCACTGCTGCCATCCGGTATCTGGGTTTTTGTGGTCTGGTTTGGTTAATTCAAACCGATACTTACAGTGAGTTGCTACGAGTCAGCCCACAAAGGAAGCTGAAAAGAGCGAGGGCTTTACCTAGAGTGGCCAACTGTTTGAAGTGAAGGCAAGCACTAGGCTGGCCCAGGAGGTCCAGCCGGTGGTAGAGCAGCTTGCTGCTGGGGACAGTGTTGAGGTTCTTCAGTTGCTTGACAGGTATTTCCGGTTGTATCACCACAATACAGAGAATAAAGGAAGTGTCCTGTACCTGGAAAAGTCAATAAAAAATTTCTAACACTATCCTAGAGATAGTGACTTTGCCTACATTATTTTCTGCTCTCTCTCTGTCTCTGTCCCACATAGAAAAATATTTGATGAGTGAATGAAAGCCATGAAGACGGGGTGACAGAAACTATCTCTGGCAAAAGGTTACATTATCTATTTTTTGTTTTCCTTTCTGATTAAGGGAAATTACTGTATGCAACAGAAAATCATGGAGCCAATGAAGGGATTAGAAAGGAATCCCTTTGGGACAGCAACCCCACGCCTCTTTTGCTTCTTTAGGCTAACAAATCCAAGCTGGAACATGGCATAAGAATACAGCACTTCCTTCTGTTTGGGTTTGAAATGCATTTTAAGATACAGAGTTGGTTTTGCAATGAGTATTCCGAGAATTGACTGTTTTGAAAGCCAATTATGAAAATACACATGCAGCTTATACAGAATCTGGTTTATTCATGTATTCCTAATGCTTTCTCCTTTCCTGGATGGAGATGAACAGGATCTCAGACTCATGAAAAGTCCAAATCCCATGGCTCCCTCACAAAGGCTGCTTGACTTGTCATTTCAGACCGCAGGAGGTAAACATTCTAGAGCTTAGCCTAATTTATTAAGCTCATATGTACAAACAGGAGTACTTCCAAGTTCACTTTGCTCTTAGACGCTTAAACGAAGTTATTGGGAAGAGTGTCCACCAAAGAATAAAAAAACAAACAAACAAACAAAAAACCCCGCAATCTACTTAATTCTAGCTCCTTAACTTAAAAATACAAGATAGCCAAACTTCTGTAAGTTCATTATATAAGGAGACAGGCAGATTCTATTTAAAAGATGGTTGGTCAATAAAGGGAACGTGTGATAACCAGCTAAGTTAAAACTAAAGGACAGTGAGAACTAAAGCAGCCCAAAGGATTTACTTCATGATCAAGGAGAAATTTTTAAGTAGGCAGGTTAGAGTTAAGTGTAATTTAGGGTTTATGAAGATGGTTGCAGGATCTTTTTCAACACAGGAGAAATTTGCATCTCTGTGGGATTGCTTTCAAGTACTGCTGCCAAGGATATTCAGTTAGATTAGCAAATTTAATTCTTTTCGCCCACCGCCTCCATTAGAAAATGATAGCATCCCATAGTGGCATTTACGATTTCCTGTCTCACATAGCCATCCTTTGTTTCCTGCATTACATGTTCCAAGGAGCCAAAAGACAAGAACTTGGCCAGAGAGACCAGAATGTAATTGTTAGAATAGGGTCTATCCTGTTAGGAGATAAATTAAAAGGTCCCCTAAGCGTCCAAAAGCAATACTTCAGAAATAGTTCCTCGCTGGAAAGGAAAACGGATTTCTTTTTCTTTTTTTTTTTTTTAAGATTTTATTTATTTATTTATTTGACAAAGAGAGAGATAGCGAGAGCAGGGACACAAGCAGGGGGAGTGGGAGAAGGAGAAGCAGGCTTCCCGCGGAGCAGGGAGCCCGATGCGGGGCTCGATCCCAGGACCCTGGGATCATGACCTGAGCCAAAGGCAGAGGCTTAACGAATGAGCCACCCAGGCGCCTGAGAAAACGGATTTACAATACAGGTCTTTTTTATCATGTTCTTAGCTGAAAAAAATAGTCTTTGCATTAAGGAACCAAAATATATCTATAAGGGCTCTCCATGATTGGGGAGTGGTTTTTTTTTTTTTTTTTTTCACTGATTGCCCTTGGGATTCATGTTTTGAAGTGAGCCATGCCTGCGTCACACAGGAACACAGTAATACCTTCTGAAGGCAATCCTTTCTTCTGGCTCAGTATGCAGCCTCCTCACATGCTCAAAGATGGACTTGGGCTGCACAGTGACAGAGTAGTAATCTCTTAGCGCTGCTAACATAATCTCTCACATTCTATTTAAATTAATTCAGTGAAATAATCCATCAGTATCGGCTCTATCTATGGATGCTAAGCAGTTTAAATAATCATTCGCAACACAAGCTAAATCTATTTGAATTACATTTAGTAGAAGAATCCATTTTATTCCTGAAGACAAGAGGAGTATCTGCTCCCCTGCCCCCAAAAGTAACAAAAAAGAACTTAAAATTATTTGTTCATATTGCTAGGTAACCAGGCCAGCCTCTTTAACGTCTATCTCATTATTTATTACCTCTTTAATTTTTCACTTAATAGTGATGTTCTTGACAACTTTGGAACTCTGAGAAAGCTAACTACATGATCATATCCATTTGGCTACAGAGAATGGCCAAAATTCATCGATACCACTGAAGAAAATCTTAAGAAGATAATACTTCTTTCCAAAATGTTAACAGTGGGTTTATTCACTGTGCAAAAAAGGTCTTAAAAATGCTCATATCTCCTTCTTTCTCTTTATTTTCTTAAGGATTTTATTTTTAAGTAATCTCCACACATGGGACTCGAACTCACAACCCTGAGATCAAGATTGCATGCTCCACCAACTGAGCCAGCCAGGTGCCCCATCCTTCTTTCTCTTTTAATGCTAAAAAAATATTAAGGGAGATATTTTCTTGGGATGCAAATGAGTTGCTTTTAATCAGGACATACTAGAGATAAACAACCTCCAATTTCAAATATAAAAAGTATTTTTCAATGAAGTACTCTGGGGTGTGGTTTACCCTTTCTGATCTGAAAATTAAGCAATTCATCCTTATGTTAAAATGTATAAAAATAAGGGTAGATGGTGCAATCATTCTTAAAAAAATTCTGAAAATGAGCTGAGTTTCAAAATAGACTTTGACCATTCTCAAATCTGCGTTACCAAACAATAAAATATCAGTAGAATTAGGCTTGTAAATTGTGCATTTCTCAAAAGATTTCATTTATTATTTTGTTTGCTTTTATTTCCCTTGTAGAAATCAATGTTGCCATAATTATGCTTTAAGAATGGAACCAGAAGAAGAAAAAAAGAACGGAACAAGAAGGTCGGAGGAGAGTCCTATCTAAAGGCATGTTGGCTACTTCCAAATTCCTGTCATCCCAATTCCTATCATTCCAGACACAGACACTGGATCAAGTTGTCTGTCTGCATCCACCACTAGACTGGATGCTCTCTGAGGGCAGAGAAAGTATCCTTCCTCTTTATCCTTCTTAGCTCACTGGAAATGTTCAGTAAGTCATTCTTAAAGGGATGAATATGTAGATCCATTTGGAGACCGTGGGTTAAACACGAGATATGGCCAAGTAAGGGAATCTCTAATATGACTGCATTTTAAGTTGCGTGATTAAAAGTTGATGATAAAAAAATCAAAGTGCACTCTGCTTTTGGTCATTTACAGTATGAAGGGCCCCATAATAGCATTTCTTTTCGGCTGGGAAGAGGGAGTAAAGGGCAGCAACATGAATAACGTGGGCAGTGTGTGCTCAAACCTCTGACTCCTTGGTCAGAGGCTATCTGAATGAGGCTCGTCAAAGGACACTGAAGGAAGGCCACAGGTGGTCACTTAACTGTCCATCTGCTGGTGGTGAATATGAATAATTCAGCTTTGCCTTGAAGAATGTCAGTAGAGGGCATTTATGCTTTCGTATTTCCTTTTCAACCCCTAACTTTCACAATCTGTGTTTAAAATGATAAACAAAACAAAACAACAACAATAACAAAAAAACACCTCACTGGATATAATCTAAAATCTATATATTGATAGGAGGACTGTTCAAACAAGTTTGGTCCATCAACACGGTCCAACGCTACACAGCCATTAAACATGCATGCACATGCCCAGCTAGAGATACCTGTGTATGAATAAAGAATGTTCTGGAAACTGGTAAAAGTGGTGGCTTCGGGGGAATGGCAGGTCAAGGGTAGGAGAGAGGGAAGGGCAAAGTTGACTTTTTCCTTTGTAACCTTTTATACAGTTTAACTTATTCCACATGAACAATGATTCGTTTTACAAACAAAAAAGGAAAAAAAAATTATAGGACATCTGTGGAATCTCTTCTTTTTCCCATTGCTTTAAAATTAATTAGCAACATTATCAGACCGAAGTTCCCAGGAATTCCTGCATAAATGGCAGTGCACTCTCCAGCTCCTCAGGCAAAGCGTCCTGCAACTCACCATCTTCCAGGCATAGCTCACATTATAGGCCTCCTTTCCGGTGGCTCTCAGCTTGTTTATATGCCAAGACAGGGATGAATTCACAGGGACTGCGATGATCTGACTGCCCAGAGGGAGGCTGCGTTGGCAACAGAATGAAATACTTCAGGCAAAAGATAGAATTAAGCACTTAATTAAAGGCAGGGAAGAAGCTGTGAGTCAATGACCACCTCCTGATTTTGAAAAGCAATAAAGCTCATCACTTTTGAAAGAGATAATGTGAAATTTTCAATTTCGTAAAAGCATGATGTCAGCTCAGCACTAAAATATTCCTTGCTCTCTACGCCTGCCCCCCTCCAAATTCTAATTCTTTCCAGAGACAAACTTGTCTCGAATCACTGTCATTAATTTACAACCAATGAGCACAAAGACCCATTCTCTATAGGTTACCATCTGCCAAAATAATGTATCATGGTTAGAAAAAATCCAATCTGTTTTTTATTTCAAAAGAAAACGTTGTATATGATTGTGCTGTCAACTTGGAATGGACACTATTTTGCCAAACTATTTTTCTGGCATGCTGGAAAGCTGGTCCTCAACTTAACCTTTTATTTTGCCAACATTTTTCAATTTAGTACAACTGGAGTTTTTCTTAAATGGGGTAACATATATCCGATTTTACAATTAATGGAAACGTGAACATAGAATCTGATTTACAAAACATTTTCCCTAAATAATAGTTTTAAGAGAACTTACCTGTTGTTACACAAAGTAAATAAAATTTTATTTTAGTTACTATTCTTATGAAAAATTTACTGAGTATACTTTTAATAACATTAATTTATATATTTGTTTTATACCCTATAATAAACACTCATATTTGACCTCAAGAGGTCCTATTTTTCAGAAAAAAAAAACAAAAAACAATAAACCCAAATACTACAACTTTCACCTTTTCCTTACCTTAGGATATTTTGCCGAACCAACTCAAATTTGGGGATATTTTCATAATGAATGATGTCAGTATGAAGTGGGGGTTCTGATAGTAAATATGGCCTGGTAAGAGATGGGTGCATAAGTGTATACCCTGAAATAAGAAAACAAAAATACATGCTATGGGAAACACGCTGTAGGAAGTACGGATTCTAATATAAGTGCCTATCATACATTTGAAATGTGGGATACTCTGGGATGACTGCCCAATACGCAACATCTCAGTACGCAGGTCACCAGTCCAAGAAAAACTGAATTTGTTTTATGCGTTCTTGCATAACTCTTGAAGTACAGAAAGATGCATTACAGAACAACTGTCTAATCAAGAATATCTTGGAGGTACTGGTCATTGGGGTTTTTTCTATAAAAATGTTCTAATCTATTACATAAACTTTAATGCCAGTGAATTTAAAGATAATGATATAGAAAAATAAAATCCAAAGGATCACTTTCTATATGTCATTCAATCCTCAAGTCTAATTTCTTGATGTTTAAGTAACTGTTACCTACTCCTTAGCACAACACAGAAACAAATGAGGTTTTGTTTTGTTTGTTTTTTTTAAGAGAGAGAGAATCATAAGCATGCTCCATGCCAGCATGGAGCTCAATCTCATGACCCTGAGATCATGACTTGAGCCAAAATCAAGAATCGGATGCTTAACCGACTGAGCGCCCCAGGTGCCCCTAGAAACAAATGCATCATTTTTAGATTCATTTATGGTTTCCATTACAAATGAGCAGTTCTAGTCTCACTATTTTTCTATAAATAATGTAATTTTCTTACTTTGTTAGTATCAGAATATCTACAGATTATTTTCTTCAGGTTACAAAAAAGTCATTCTTTGCCATGATTAATTTTTAGCAGATTACCTTTGTCATCTATGAGAAAAGTATAGGAAGCCAAAGAATCTTGGTAATACGTCACGTCTTCAAGGATGTAAGCCAAGTTCACGTCCACACCTACAATTCCCAGGAGTAGGTTTCCAAAATAACAGGGTTTACTTACAGTCATTATCAAACCTATGGGTTAAAAACAAAACAATCCAAAGGATAGCAGAGAAGGCACTGAACAAAGACTGGAGCTATCCTCTAGTGAATCACGAAGGCTACGATCTGCTATCTAAATTCTGCTTGGAAGAGGTGACCTGTGTGATCTAGGAGCCAACCACTGCCTCTGCAGACAGCATAAGTGAACAAGACTGTGGGGCATGGAAAGTCTTCTGTGGGGTTCAGATACCACAGTTAATTTTGGAGGCAATTTATACATTTTCCACTATTTCTTCACCTAAACGGCAGGACAGTCCAGATCAGAGCAAAACAGCAGCATTTACTACATGATTCTGTTTTCTCAACTGGGGAAGAGTCAACGGAATGTGAAAGACCACTGGACAAGGACTCTGAGAATTTGGGTTCTAGCCTAGCTGTGCCCCTTTATGTATTGTACATAAGACATGGATATAACTTCTCTGAGCCTCGGTTTCCACATCTGTTTAAAGAACACAGTGGTAACTGCTTTACTGATTTTTAGGGGTAAACCAGAAGAGATTATTTCATTAATATAACCTATCAAAAGACAAAAAGATGAAGCGAAAAAACCTGGAAAGGTACAGAATCTAATAAGATCTGACCAATTACAACTCCAAGCAGCTCAAGGAGACACTAAGTTTCCAAAGGAATCTATTTCTAGTCACGGGGGTTCTGAGGTCCTTAACTTTTACCTAAAGGGCTAGCCAGTAGATGCTTTGGACCAGTTTCTGTTGCATATACTTAAAAAAAAAAAAAAAAGCTTTAAAAATATAAATGGCATTCTCAGCTCACAGGCCATACAAAAACAATGGGATAATCAGGACAGGGAAAAGCAAAGGCAAAGAAAATGTACAAGAGGAGAGAGCGTGAGTAGCGGGCTGAGTGCGTGGCCCTGAGCATCAGGACAGCGGGGCTCTCCTCCTGGCTCTCCTACTGAGTTAAGTGGCACCACCTCTCTGAACTGGGTCTCTTCATGTGTCAGAGACAGAACGATCTCTAGCACCTGGAGCAGTGCCACAATCCTATGGTGCTAAATAAAACTCGAAACAAGAAGATGGATGGTTTCTCTCCATCTTACACTTGTATTTTCCTGCACTTAATGGCAGGTTCACGCCTTAGCAGCATATCAGAAAGCCATTCTTCTATCAACATCCAGAAAAGGGATTTGGATACTTGAAGACTCCTGCAAAAAACAGACTTCCACACAGAGAAACCCATGGAGGTCCACTCAAAGTATTATTGAACTTGCTGTGGTCGCAAAGGCCAATGAAATGTATCACTTGGTAGGAGGAAGTAACACTGAAAAACTTTGTGAGAAGTTATGCCCAGTTATAAGGTAAGTTCTGGGGATGTAATATACAGCCTGGTGACTATAGTTAACAATACTGTATCGTGTATTTGAAAGCCGCTAAGAGAACAGTTCTTAGAAGTTCTCATCACAAGAAAAAAAATGTTTATGCAAGGTGACGAATGTTAACTAATCTTACTGTGGTGATCATGTCACAATATATACATATATCAAATCATTATGTTGTATACCTAAAAGGAATGCATTGTTTTATGTCAATTATAAATCAGTAAAACAGGAAACAAGAAAAGTTGTGTGCTATTATAATTTCAAAGGCATTCTTTAGGCAGTCAACAGAAGGTTTTAAAAATGTATTTTAAGGAGGTTTTTGCCCAGGTATCCCTGGACAAATGGGTTATAAATGATGGGAGCAGCGCTTGACGGCTAGGACAGAGACAGAGGTCATAACCTGCATGCCATGCTCCCCTGGGCTTGTGTCTAAGATTAAAGCCGTTTTCATAGAGCAGTGAAGTACAACAGAAATACTCTGAGACCATATGCTCACTTCAGATTTCTTTGGCTATGTTGCGAACAAGCCTGAAAAAAGAAACACAATCTTACTTTTCAATTATCAACTCGGAGAGAAGACCGTTCATTCCATTGTGGCAAATAAAGTATGCTAAGCTCTTGTTACCCTTAATGAAATCCCTAAATGCCCTCTCTACTTTAACCTAAAGTACACAGATTTACTTGTTAAAAGAAGTACGTCCAGTCACCAATATTTTAATCTGTGGGGGTTTTGAATGACAGCCATGTAAAAACATGGGATTCCCTAGGCTCAGCATCCCCGTGTTGTGGAGTTAGAAGAGATGCCACCCACTCGTTCTGGGGACTGAAAATACAAACATGAAAGGCATGCTCTAGTAGAGGAATGGGACAGACCAGTAAAGGAGTCGCTGAAGTACACCATAGAGGATTCAGAGAATAGGCCCTGAGGACTACACTTTGGAAAGCATCAGCCAACAAGGAACCGAAGATTTGCCCACAATTTGACTGAAAGCCTTTGGGTAACTCTTGGGGTGGTAGAGGTGAATTTTATAAAAGGTCCTACTCTACCTGATATCACTAATGGTAACAGGATTTGACTGCATAAAACCCCGAGCTTGTACAGGACTCGGTTTCCACATCTGCCTTTGTTCCTTTGACACAGTATTAACATGATTCATTGATCTGTCTTTCTCTTATCAGACTTACATGCTTGTTGAGGGTGGGATGTGTGCCTTACCCATCATTGCCTGACACAAGGCTTGGCTGGCACTCAATACTGTGAGCTAGATGCATAAAAGGTCACTTGGATTTACAGCTCAACATTTCCCTATGAAAGGAAATAACCTTATCCAAAAGTGGGAGTTTCTATACTATCCACATCTGTGGGCTCTGCCAGAATTAGGAAGGATAAAAAACATTGACGTGTAGCAGAGGTTACCATATTTCTTCCTTATGGAAAAAACCTGTTTACCTAATTTCTAGAAAACATACTCTCTAGGCCTTTTTATACATGAGTTTTGTAGGGATATCTGTATTTGTGAGAGTTCCTAGTTACTGGAACATAAAAATAGGATCTTATGTGGTGATGGTATCTGTCTGGCTAGTAATCAGCTTCCTCGTCCCTCCTCTCTGTCAGAGAAGAAAGGGAAGCATGTTGGGGAAAGGATAAACAAGAATATGAGGAGGGAATGAAAAAGGTTGTACTTTTACTGATCATATATGTTGGCCAGCCTTTACTCTAGGTGCTTCACATATATTAGTGCATGTCGTCTTCACAACTGCCTTGACAGAAATATTCTTCCCATTTCATAGACCAGGAAAATTAATCATGTGAAGGTTAAACACTTTACCCAACATCATATGAATAACTTGTGACATCAGGATGATGATGATGATGATGAGAGTCATAATAAAAAGATAATAAATCAACAAGAGCAGTAATGATTGTTGAGAGGTATGCCAGGCACCAATAAGTCTAATAGATTTAGAGGTTTATCATTGAATAGAATAGAGGTTTATCATTGCATTTCTTACCTCTTTGCCTATTAAACACTTGCCAAAGTCTCATGGAACTAAATGGAAGAATTATGTATTGCATTTAG